CCCCCATCACAGTATAAAAGTTTGATAGCGCAGTCGTATTTTCGTTCAAACCATGGGTGAAATTTCTTGAACCTTGCTAGAACATTGCCCTTCCGAGCAATTGGTACGACCACGATGTAACCTGAGAATTCATCAATGAATGTGACGTAATACAGTGAGCCACCAAGGGATCTAACAGGCATCAAACCAGATACATCACTGTGGATGATCTCACCGCGACGTGAAGATCTGACTGGCTTCGCATACATTGCGTCCTTGTGCATTTTGCCCTGTGCACATGCGTCACATTCGTTAACAGACTTTTTCGTTAAGCTCAGGTCAAGTCCAGTCACAGCTCCCTTCTGTGACAATTTGCGTATACTGTCGAGATGGGCGTGTCCAAGTCGATCATACCAGAGCTTTTCTGCATATGATTTGGCAACAAAAGCAGAGTTTCCAGAAAGAGGAGTACTCTGTACGGAAAGTACATAAATGCCTCCTTGCATCCAGCCCTGAAACTCTACCAAGCCATTTCGCAACACTATGCACCCATGGCGACTGAACTTGACTTGGTACCCTTTGGTACAAACCGCAGAGCAAGACAACAGGTTGGCTTCAAGCCGCGGAACCAGTAGCACATCGCGAATGATCGTTCGGCGGTGCACAAGGGCTGCATCGCATTCGCTGTGAACCAAGACATCCAGTGGCATGTCACCGATGCAGCAACTCTGGACAGAGGCTCCGTTTCCGATTACGATCTGTCTCGGGGTGATCTTTCTGGCATTCACGAGCCAATCGCGGTGCTTGACCATATGGTCCGATGCGCCAGAGTCCAGCAAGATGGTACCCGCATGCCCTTTAAATCCCGCCATAAGCATGGTGGCATGATGCGCGGTGCCTTGTTTTGAATCCACAGACACCTGAAGATTGTTTCCTTCATTCTTTTTACAGTTACGAGAAATGTGACCCAGTTGGCCGCATTTCCAGCAGCGCCTTTCATGCTGGCGTTTCCAGTTCTGCTGACGGTTAGATCCATGAGAACTACCACGCACGTTAAGAGCCAAAGAACTGCCACCGTTACTGCGAGAAGTCACCCGCGATGTAGTGGAGGCCCATACCTTTTCATCGTACTCCTGCAATAAACGAGCGGTCACATTCTCCCAAGTGAGCTCTTTCGCACCGGACTGAAGGGCAGCGACAACGTGACCGAACGGGGATTTCTCTTTGTCCCCAAAAGACGCTATAAGCATGGCCACTTGCATTTCTCCTGACACGGGGCTCCCCATAGCATCAAGTCTGTTGTACATTTCTTCAAACTCATCAATGTAGTCCGACATGGCTTGAGATTTGTACTGTACTCGTGCAAGCTTGGTCTGAAGCTGCACACGCGTGACCATGTTTGAGACAGCATAGCGCTCCCGGAGTCGACTCCACATCTTGAATGGATTTTCGCGTTCAGATAAGCACATTCGAAGCGGCTTGTCTCCTAAGCCCTGAATCAATATCTTGCGAGCCTTGACGATTGCCTCCTTTTCATCTTTCGAAGGAGGCTGAGTACCGTCCCCGACAGTATCTGTCACTACGACAGAAAGGGCTCCTTCTGCCTCCAGAGCGGCCTCCGTGCGGGCACACCACAGTTGAAAATCTTCAGTAGGTTGCCCGCGAAACTTGTAAATTTTGCGACTGTCCTCCATTACAGAGGTGTACTGCAAATCAAATGCAAACTGTTCCGATAGTCAAGTCGTTCCCGGCGAGAAGAACGAAGTTGGTAAAAAAAGTTACAGGGTGGCTGGGCCCATAACCACTTGGCAGTGGTGGGATGGGAAGCAGGTGATTCTTTTGTCTTTTGCCCTTACTGTGTCGTTGTCAGTATACTGAACAACAGGCACGCTCCTTTATAGAGAATAAGAAGCCTGCCGAGAACACATAACCACACATAACCACCCACTAGTGTCCAGCTATCGGTGGGTGGGGAGATACTACGGAATACGCCAACAATAGATCACGGTAGTGACCCTAATACGCGGAGATACACCCTAGAGCGCGCAAATGCGAGCGTAGATAAACCCTTAAAATCTCAATATGAAAAAACATACAGTAGTACGTTAAGCGTAGTAATCACGGGAGACGAATTCAGACCTGTGCAACCAAACTGTATGCCCGACGGATCATCCTGACAAGAACACATCATATTCAAGTACAAGGACAAGGTGGCTCAACACTTTGCGCAATAGAAGGCATCGCGAGTGTGAAGGAGTCGAATCTGACATGCCAATGATTAAGGTAATGCATAGTTGAAAGACGGAATAAAAGAAGTTGAATTATATATACATACTTCAGGCATCGACGTGCGAAAAGGGAGTTCGAGAGACAGTGTTTACAAGGTGTGCCTCCTGTTTTGAGCAAAGCTCGTGTGAGAGAAGGCACGATATGGAAGCTACGGATGATGACCAAAGCACTTTCGACAGCGGTCTTTTCCTCGCACTGAACTGCTCTACTCGTCGGAGAGCTTTTACGACTAATTGTAGAGTGACAATGGTTTTGGTATGACAATGATCACGAAATGTCCGTCCTCGCGACAAGGCTTGCTGAGTGTCATGAGAGCCAAACGTGCACACGTAGCACACGCATGACAGCGCGATCAGATCACCTCACTCGCCGCCGGCACACAGATCCCTATCCCCCCCTTATAAGGTAGACAGGCATTAGGCATCAGTACACGGAGGCATCGATCTTGCACCATACTGAGATCAGGGGTTTTTGGCCGTACCTGTACAGCATCAAGATTGCCTGTACTGTAGCAGTAATGAGTCGTGTACACGTGTACAAAGGTCTGCACGATTGCACTCGCTGCAACAAAAGATCAGGGAGCATTGCGGCCATGAATTGGAAACGGCCAATACCGTACAGGGGCAGTCGCGAAAGACTTGTCAGTGCTGTTCGAAGTTTGAAGGTGTGGAGAATGTGTAACGGGAACTCCTGGGCAGCTGATTCTGAAAACAAGTGAGAAGGTTGCAAGAATAGAGAGATTAGAGATGAAGATGGAGATAGAGTGAAAGGGTTAAACAAGAGGATGGAAAGAAAGAGGAATTGGGCATAGAGGGAGAGCGAAGGGGATAGCTGATCTCTGACAGGTGGAGATGGATTACTTGACGACGATGGAAACATGCGTCTGCATGTAGACGGCGACAGGTGGATGGTGGGGTTGCGGTTGAGGTTGGGGTTGGGGTTGAGCATGGAGATCTTGTGCAACAGCGATCGGAAGAAAAGGCACAGAGGGCTTTCGAGAGCGGTTACGGCGGACGTTGACGGCGTGTGTGAGGAAGACGCCGGCGATAGTGGCTAACAGGACGCCTAGGACACCAAGTACGGGGTCGAGCCAGGTCCAGGCCATAGAGGTTTGCGACATGGTGGTAGTGGAGGGATTTGTTGTTGATGTGTGGGTGTACGTGAGGTAGCTGTGGGGCAAGAAACGGACACAGATGGAGAAAGAGAGAGGGAATTTTGGTGCGAGAATGAGGGTGTATTTATTTGCGTTTCGCGCACTGTATAGTGGGTAGTGGGCGCCTCCGGAAATTATTTTTTGTGTCAGAGTCATATTTTTCTTTTTTGTGAACAAAAAATGAGTTTTACCACGGAAATGCTTGCGCACATAATGTGCGTCCCCCTACTGTACGCATGCTTTGAACTCGTTCCTAACGACGAGCACGGCACCGGACGCCGGCGATGACGCCGTCGGAGCTCTATCTACAGTGTGTGCTGTGAGCTAAGCTCAATCATGATGGTGTTTTCACCGAGCAGCCACCGTCAGAACCATGAATGACCAAATGGCTATTCTATTGCTACTTCTCATTCAGAGCCATGCTCGGTAGGATGGATGTAGATGTCGAGTCTCGTCGGTCGGGCGGCGGCCGACGCTTTCTCTGTGTACAGTAAATTTGGATTGTACGCGCGCACATTTTGACATTTGTGCGATACACAGTTAACCTAGCATGGGGTCGCCCGTCCGAGAAAACGGCGCGTTGTGTGTGCACAACGGGCCGTTTGTGTGTCACAAAATCCCGATTTGGTCAACACAATTTGCGAGTTTAGAATTTCAGGAGTCGCCCAGTGTGCTCTGGTAGGGCACTGGAATCTGTCAGACTTACATCGTCAGGCTGACACTTCCTTCTTTCCATCATGGCGCTGTCTGCGAGAGTATGATGAGGTGAGAAAAAAAACCCTATAGGCAAGCCGTCGAAATGTAGAGATATGGCAGTCTTTTTGAGAATTAAAATATTGTTCTTGCCTCGCTGGCCAATGATGATTCTGCGGATGATTCTGAGACGGACTGGGTCAGGCAGTAACAAGGACAAGGCGGCGTAACACTTTGCACAATAGAAGGCATCGCGAGTGTGAAGGAATCGAGTCCGACATGCCAATGATTAACGTAATGCATAGTTGAAAGACGGAATAAACGAAGTTGAATTATACTTCAGGCATCGACGTGCGAAAAGGCGGTTCGAAAGACAGTGTTTACCAGGTGTGCCTCCTGTTTTGAGCATGGCTCGTGTGATAGAAGGCACGATATGGAAGCTGTGGATGATGATCAAAGCACTTTCGACAGCGGTCTTTTCCTCACACTGAACTGCTCCACTCGTCGGAGAGCGTTTGCGGCTAATTGTAGAGGGCAATAGTTTTGGTGTGACGATGATCACGAACTGTTCGTCCTCGCAACAAGGCTTGCTGAGATCAGGGGTTTTTGACCGTCAATGCCTGAAGTATGTATATATAATTCAACTTCCTTTATTCCGTCTTTCAACTATGCATTACCTTAATCATTGGCATGTCGGACTCGATTCCTTCACACTCGCGATGCCTTCTATTGCGCAAAGTGTTGCGTCGCCTTGTCCTTGTTATTGCCTGACCCAGTCCGTCTCCATCACCATCTGTGGCTCGTTTCGATAAACCTGTCCTTCATCTTCACCAGTGCGCTTCCCGCTTGTGTCACCCACCATTCCCTTTCCACTGATTCCGCTTCACTATGCTGTGCATATTCCAACCTCATTACCAACAACGACAGCCAATGTACACATTTTCCAATTGCCCTCCACCGCACCATCTTTTCCGTCTCCCCAAAACAGCTCCAAAGCCTCGAAAACACGCCCTTCCCTCAAAATCCATTCATCTACAGTTGCCAATGCGCACCCAACAAACCCCTCAAACCATCTGTGGAATAAGTAATGCTCACCACCTTCACCCTTTCGGCACCCTTGCCCACCGAGCACCGTCTCCGGAATTCCGCATCCCATCAGCTCCGTTACTCCATTCCGAATTCGCCTTTTGGTCCCCAAATACCATCTTACACTCTTTTTGAACGCCTGTCTGCTTGCCATCTCCCGAAACATCAGCGACTGCTCTAAGTTATCTAACTTTCTTAGTAGTACCTCCGATCGCAAATCCATCAACCCTCCTTCTACAAGTTCACCTGTCCTCCCGATCGTCCCCATTTGCATCCACACATAATCCTTGGTTGCTGCCTCCATTTCCTTAACCGATACCTTATAGTGAAAGGGGTCCAGATGGTCCCGCATCAATACCGCTTCCTTGTTTTCGCTCATACACACCACCTTAAAGATGTAACGCGGCACCACACGCCCAAGAACTCCTATCTTCGCTGCACCACCACCGCTCCCTGGGTATGCTACAGCCATGAAATCTCCCTTGCTCGTTTTTGCACGCATCCTCACGCCGCCTACTAACATCTCCGGCACAATAGAGCTTGCACTGCACTTGGCGTTACACTCTTCTTCCAGCCGTTCTATCATCCAAGACCTGACGTTTTCGACCCAGTCTGCCCGTTCCCATGGTAAAATGTGTCTTGCTACTGGTTGGCGAGCTACTTCTCTATTTCCGCGTGCTACCTCTGTCGCAAGAATTTGCAAAGGGATGGGTGCGGTTGAGCCAATCTCCGGAATATCATCTTTGATACCGCTCCGCTGCTCTCTCTTCGGTATTTGGTTCTTTGGACCACTGTCCGATATTTTGATGGGGTGCGTTCCTGTCGACATGCTCTGACTTTGGACACTGATCTCCTCTTCACTCACGCCAGCATCTGGGTGTTGTACTTGCGACGGAGGCGGCGGTGTCAGTGGTGCGCCCCTCGCCTGTGGTCTTCGAGAAGCAGAACTTGGGCGGAAGAGGTCAGCGCCAACAAACTGGACCTTGAGCTTGATGTCCTGCTGGTCGGGGTGGGGGGCGGCCCAGAAGTCTGGGCGCGGGTCGGGGGCGGGTGCGATGCAGACGAGGAACTTGTCCTTGGAGACGCCGAACTCGGGCGGCGTGAGGTTGTCGCCAAGGTGGGCGTGCAGGCCGATGTGGACGGCGAGCGTGGCGCCCAGCGCGATGAAGCCGACGTTCGGGCGCACGATGTAGCGCGAATGGTTGTTGGTCTTCACCTTGAAGGCGACCTGCGTGGCATGGTGGCTCGTCAGCGACAGCGTGTCCGACGGCGTCGGCGGCGAAAGCGGGAACGTCAGCAGCCGCTTGGACGCGGAGACGTAGACGGGCGGCGACATGGTGCGGGCTTCCGGCGGGGCGCGGGGGGGGAAGGGGGGGGGAGGGGAGCGGCGCGGCGGCGCGGGGGACCGCGGGAAGGGGGCGGGTGGAGAGCGGGTCCCCTGCGTGATGCAGGAGGAGAAGATTCAGAGCCCGTCCCAACAGAACCATGCCTTTCTTTCCGATATCAAGTTAGGCCATATGATTGGTCACTGCGAGGTGCCCACGTGAAAGACATTGATAGTATATATTGAAGACCTTAAGATATATATTTTAGGCTAATTACATTAAAGCAGAAGGTCAGCACAAACAATGAGATGTATAAAATGTACAAATAGAGTGGGTCCTTCAAACTACTGTAGCAACAAATCGAATGATCATCAACATCCACTCGTGCGTCCCCACTTGCAAACTCCTCCTCTCTCCTCCTCTCCCACCATTCCCATATATCACTTACTCCGTCTCTCTGTCTCTCCGTCTGTCTCTCTTTCTCTGTCTGTCTCTCTTTCTCTGTCTCTCTCTACCTCACTAGCTCCAGCTTCCTAACTCTCTTCACATCCCCAGAGTCGTCCCTCCCTTCCCATCCTCAGCTTGCTATCTCCCTCACAAAACGCAGCTTCTTACCTCCCTCACCAACTGCAGCTCCCCCCTCCCTCACCATTCTCAGCCTCCCCTCTCCTTCAAAAACCGCCGCTTCCTGCCTCCCTTTTTATCTGCAGCTCTCTTTCTCCCGGAACGTCCCCAGAGTCGTCTCTCCCTTCCCATCCTCAGCTTGCTATCTCCCTCATTAAACGCAGCTTCTTACCTCCCTCACCAACTGTAGTCTCCCCCCTCTCTCACCATTCTCAGCTCTCTTTCTCCCTGACCATCCCCAGAGTCGTCCCTCCCTTCCCATTTTCGGCTTTAGTTCTCTCTCACCATCTCCAGCATCCTGGCTCCCTCACCAACCGCAGCTTCTTCCTTCCCTCCCCATCCGCCCCTTTCTCCGTTTTTACTGTGGTCACTTGCTTTTGAGTTGTCTCAATCTATTTGTTGTCCAATGAAATTGCCTTTCTGTGAGGCTTACACTCCAGGAGAAAGGGCGCTTACTACCTCTTACTAAGACTGCCATGTTAATATTTGTATCAGCAGCAACCAATCAGGAGGCTCTGCGCGATTGCCACTGATGTGATATGCTGTGTTGGGACGGGCCCTCAAGGCAGTCCAAACGTATTGCGTAACACTTGGAGATACCCTGAAGGGCATGCCATCACCTGGTAAATTATGATGACACAATAGCAAGATGAGGGCGGCATTGTTGCCCATCGTGAGGCAGCACGGCTTCACTCTGTCTTCAATAATATGAGGGATTATGGGATCATGGGGAATATGGTTCACATCCCCCTGCCCCCGGCATGCCGTGCACAGCAACGCTCTTGAGAGCGTTGAGTTCAACCCCCTCAGGACGGCAACAATGTCCGACCCCCTCTCACTACCTCCACTCGCCAAATGAGGTAGAGTACAAGTATTCCTCTGAATCGCACCATCTCCAACCCCCACCCCCCTCTTCCCTTCTCTTCGTCTCTCCTTCCGCGACGCCTAGCCACACCCTCCACCATGCCGCTGGCAGTTACCGTCAACACGAAAACCCTGCGCTTCCCGCCCAACCCACCCGTCCCTCACAGAGCCATCTTCCGCATCACGAACGACACATACACCCCCATCGTCTTCAAAGTCACCTCTAGTGCTGGCAACATCTACACAGTGAGCCCCTCCGGCGGTGAAATCCCGCACCGCCAAGGCCGCGACGTCACCGTCTCCCTCACGCCTCCGTGTCCCGCCGCACAATATAGCAACCACCCCGCACACGCTGTGACCGTCATCGCGAAAACCCCCGCGTACAAGCCGGGCTCCCGCTTTGCCATCGAGCGTGAACCGAACGCATCCAAATGGATCTTGCCCATCAAGCTTTTCCCCGCCGTCAACGATACTTCCACTACGAGTCTACAAGCGTCCACCCCGCCGAATTTGCAGCCGAATGTCCAACATGTACCCCCGGGTCTGCCACAACCGCCGGTCAACTCGCCACTTTCTCCACAGCAGCCTACGCGTCGAGTCAAACCGCTCAGACCTGTGCCTCGGCCCTCGCCGCGGCCTCGTTCCCCGCCAAACCCGCCCCCACGTCTTGCTGCACGGCCGCCGCCACCCCCTCCTCTCACTACGCTCCCAGGCACCGCTGGCGCCCTCGAACGAAGGGCTCACACTCTCACACCCGGCAGAAAGGCACGGCCTCCGAAGGCTGTCCCCAGTATGCGACCCATGCCGAGCAAGACGGCGAAGACCCCGCCGCCCGCCCGAGAGAGGGCAAGGGCACTGGCGTCGACAAGTTCTGCTTCTGGAAGACTACAGGCGAGGGGCGCACCACTGACACCGCCGCCTCCGTCGCAAGTACAATACCCAGATGCTGGCGGGAGTAAAGAGGGGATCAGTGTCCAAAGTCGGAGCGTGTCGACAGGAACGCACCCCATCAAAGTATCGGACCGTGGTCCAAAGAACCAAATACCGAAGAGAGAGCAGCGGAGCGGTATCAAAGATGATATTCCAGAGATTGGCTCAACCGCACCCATCCCTTTGCAAATTCTTGCGACAGAGGTAGCACATGGAAATAGAGAAGTAGCTCGCCAACCAGTAGCAAGACACATTTTACCATGGGAACGGGCAGACTGGGTCGAAAACATCAAGTCTTGGATGATAGAAAGGCTGGAAGAAGAGTGTAACGCCAAGTGCAGTGCAAGCTCTATTGTGCCGGAGATGTTAGTAGGCGGCGTGAGGATGCGTGCAAAAACGAGCAAGGGAGATTTCATGGCTGTGGCATACCCAGGGAGCGGTGGCGGTGCAGCGAAGATAGGAGTTCTTGGGCGTGTGGTGCCGCGTTACATCTTTAAGGTGGTGTGTATGAGCGAAAACAAGGAAGCGGTATTGATGCGGGATCACCCGGGCCTCTTTAACTATAAGGTATCGGTTAAGGAAATGGAGACAGCAACCAAGGATTATGTGTGGATGCAAATGGGGACGATCGGGAGGACAAGTGAACTTGTAGAAGGCGGGTTGATGGATTTGCGATCGGAGGTACTACTAAGAAAGTTAGATAACTTAGAGCAGTCGCCGATGTTTCGAGAGATGGCAAGCAGACAAGCGTACAAAAAGAGTGTAAGATGGTATTTGGGGACCAAAAGGCGAATTCGGAATGGAGTAACGGAGCTGATGGGATGCGGAATTCCGGAGACGGTGCTCGGTGGGCAAGGGTGCCGAAAGGGTGAAGGTGGTGAGCATTACTTATTCCACAGATGGTTTGAGGGGTTTGTTGGGTGCGCATTGGCAGCTGTAGATGAATGGATTTTGAGGGAAGGCGTGTTTTTGAAGATGTGGAGCTGTTTTGGGGAGACGGAAAAGATGGTGCGGTGGAGGGCAATTGGAAAATGTGTACATTGGCTGTCGTTGTTGGTAATGAGGTTGGAATATGCGCAGCATAGTGAAGCGGAATCGGCGGAAAGGGAATGGTGGGTGACACAAGCAGGAAGCGCACTGGTAAAGATGAAGGACAGGTTTATCGAAACGAGCCACAGATGGTGATGGAGACGGGCTGGGTCAGGCAGTAACAAGGACAAGGTGGCGCAACACTTTGCGCAATAGAAGGCATCGCGAGTGTGAAGGAGTCGAATCTGACATGCCAATGATTAAGGTAATGCATAGTTGAAAGACGGAATAAAGGAAGTTGAATTATATATACATACTTCAGGCATCGACGTGCGAAAAGGGGATTCGAGAGACAGTGTTTACAAGGTGTGCCTCCTGTTTTGAGCAAAGCTCGTGTGAGAGAAGGCACGATATGGAAGCTACGGATGATGACCAAAGCACTTTCGACAGCGGTCTTTTCCTCGCACTGAACTGCTCTACTCGTCGGAGAGCTTTTACGACTAATTGTAGAGTGACAATGGTTTTGGTATGACAATGATCACGAAATGTCCGTCCTCGCGACAAGGTTTGCTGAGTGTCATGAGAGCCAAACGTGCACACGTAGCACACGCATGACAGCGCGATCAGATCACCTCACTCGCCGCCGGGCACACAGATCCCTATCCCCCCCTTATAAGGTAGACAGGCATTAGGCATCAGTACACGGAGGCATCGATCTTGCACCACACTGAGATCAGGGGTTTTTGGCCATACCTGTACAGTATCAAGATTGCCTGTACTGTAGCAGTAATGAGTCGTGTACACGTGTACAAAGGTCTGCACGATTGCACTCGCTGCAACAAAAGATCAGGGAGCATTGCGGCCATGAATTGGAAACGGCCAATACCGTACAGGGGCAGTCGCGAAAGACTTGTCAGTGCTGTTCGAAGTTTGAAGGTGTGGGGAATGTGTATCGGGAACTCCTGGGCAGCTGATTCTGAAAACAAGTGAGAAGGTTGCAAGAATAGAGAGATTAGAGATGAAGATGGAGATAGAGTGAAAGGGTTAAACAAGAGGATGGAACGAAGAGGAATTGGGTATAGAGGGAGAGCGAAGGGGATAGCTGATCTCTGACAGGTGGAGATGGATTACTTGACGACGATGGAAACATGCGTCTGCATGTAGACGGCGACAGGTGGATGGTGGGGTTGCGGTTGAGGTTGGGGTTGGGGTTGAGCATGGAGATCTTGTGCAACAGCGACCGGAAGAAAAGGCACAGAGGGCTTTCGAGAGCGGTTACGGCGGACGTTGACGGCGTGTGTGAGGAAGACGCCGGCGATAGTGGCTAACAGGACGCCTAGGACACCAAGTACGGGGTCGAGCCAGGTCCAGGGCATAGAGGTTTGCGACATGGTGGTAGTGGAGGGATTTGTTGTTGATGTGTGGGTGTACGTGAGGTAGCTGTGGGGCAAGAAACGGACACAGATGGAGAAAGAGAGAGGGAATTTTGGTGCGAGAATGAGTTGAGTGAGAGAGAAGTTGGTCTGTGGTGATTTGGGGGGTAGGCTTTATATAGCGTCCGGCTGCGAGGCTGCGAGGCGGGCGGTAGGTTTTAAAGTACTGTTGGTAGTCGAGTAGACGAAGCAATACATGTCAGACTGACGTGTGTATGTGGCTGCTGATACGAGTTGAAGGAAAGAGAACTTTGTCAGTGATTTGGGGGGTGTATGTGTTGTATGGCGATGTTGCATCTTATGTGTTGTTACAGTAGGAGGTGTTGGGAACGGTGGGTGGAAATGAAAGTACTGTACGAAAGGACGACGACGAGCATAGTATGCTCAGCATACCATATCTTGCTGTAAGACGGAACTTTCTGACCAACACAGAATGTTTGAGCGATGTAAGAGCATGTAACTTACTCGTGGTGCCACGAATTTTGAGCCGAAAACGAAGGGTCTCCAGGGAGGCAGTTGGAGGGACATGTACTGCCCGAGAGCCGCTGCCGCCGCGGAAAGATATTACGCAGTTGCCAACTCGAATAGAGACTATGGCAGAAAAAGGCAGGGTCGATGATGCAATTGGACATCTGCAAAAGTGTAGGCTGGCATTTATGGCTGCGAAAAAGGAGGAAGTCAATGCAACGGCTCGGCAGCTACCAATAACAGAAATGCTTGATTAGACTTGAGTCTGTAGTGAAGATACAAAGCATGAGTGATGGCGTCCTGCGAGCGGTATTTCTGAGCAGTGATGCAAGGAAGTGGCTGCAAAAAAGCCGTAAATCTCATTATCTAACAGTGCCTGGTTCGATATAGTGCCGTTTTCGGCCCACTGACACAGGGTAGCACTATATCGCGACCCCCCCCTGTATCTGAATCCTTGTTATGTGAATATCCGCGATATGTATGCCATTGCTCGGAACGAGCTCCGGAGCGTTGATTGCAGGTCACATATGAGGTATTCATGAACACGGCCTAACTGAATACCACAAGCACATCTTAATCATAACAGGCCTCATAAAAGAGCATTCTATGAGACAAAACTGAGCTATGATAACTTTATTCATTATAAATGTGGTTCAATTTCCAGTTTTCCTGGGCAATCGAAAATGGACACACCTCGAACGCGCCAACCAAGCCAAGCAGACCCACATTACTCAATATTTTGGTTAAAACTTATGGGATTGTTACATATTTGGGCTGTATATGAAATGATAAATCGTAATCCTCATGGTTCGGTCTTTACTCGTCGTCGCCGTCTCGTGGGTCTAAAGACTGTAATGCGGACAGTCTGTCCTTGCGGTCCGTCATGAAACATCCTTAGAAACTGAATATGCACTTTAATTGAATGCGGAAGGAAGCAACCATCCATATTTCAGATATCGAGGGTTCACTGTATCATATTCAGTTCTTCAGTACCTCGCTCTGGTTGACATAAAGCGGATTGGTAGTGAGCTGTCGTAAGAGCGCTAATGGGAGCGATTGGCGGGTGGCGCATGGCACGTGAGGGCGCTGATGGGGAGTAAAAGCAATAAGAACGCGCTCTGTTAAGACCGGCCCTGAGGGCCGGTCTTAACAGAGCGCGTTCTTGACAGGGCGAACTCACCCGAGAAGTATCAACTGTACCGCTCGCTTGTCTGGCGCAACGTGGCAAAAATTGGGCACTTTTCATACAAGGTGAGAGATGGTGGAAACAGTTCGCTGACGAGCACGCTGATGTCAGCGTGCTTGTCAGCGAACATGGTTCAGGCACGCTGATGTCAACAACAACATGCCTGAACCACGTCGGAGACGCCGTTCACAACGCAAGCCGTGATTCCAGGCGCTACTACAATAACTTACGCTGATTATTGAGCGTGCTTGTCAGCGAACTATCTCTCGTCCAAATAAAGCAAAAAGGGAGCAAGGACGAATGTCGGGAATGTGTTACATTTTTGTTACATTTTTACCCTGGAACGGCCCTCAGGGCCGCTTCCTAACGAAGAGTTTGCGGTGCCAGCACCCGAGCACCCGGACATTTGGCATGAATGGATTGGTTGAACGGGAGTAAAAGCATTTCCAATAATTTTTTCCCCCTGACTCTCGCGACTCCTTTCCCCCGCCACTGCGCGCGACGAGCGCTGCTACTACAGTATTCGCTCGATAATTGCAACACTCGATAACTGCAACTACCCGCTAATTGCAACAAGATGCATGCAACGGCTGTGGTACCCCCACAAAATTCAATAAAAAATCAACATTGTTGCAAATTCGTTAAGTGCAACCGAAAAATCGTTCCCGCACAGAACGTTCAAGGACCTTCCCTTCACCGTTCCATCCAAAATAAAGCATATATTAAATGTGAATCCGTCTCTACATTGAGAAGGGTAGTCCGCACTCCATCCCCTTCCATTCTGACACACCACAAAAATGGTCTACGCATCCCTCTCGCTATTTGCAAAAACGACAAATATGCAAACATGTCGAAACAATGAAAAAAGAGGGAAATTTTCGAGTAAATATGACAACACATGCTGTGGGACGTGTCAAAAAGGTATCATAACCGTTCGCTAATCGCAACCCTCCGATAATTGCAACAGGTCCTGTTCCACCAACCCGTTGGAATTATCGAGCGAGTACTGTACTACAGTAACCTCATCGTCCCCGTTCTCCCTCCCACGCAGATAACACAGTCATCAAAACACCACAGTCGCGTATGCATGCAGCATGGAACCATTGTGTGTTTCATATCGCTACTACTATGCACATTTTTTCTGTTTATTTTTCACAACATCAAAGCCGCCGATTCCATATCATAGGACAGCCTTCATCATCTGCCCAGGGGGCACTCCCTTTTAACTACAGCTTTGCAAGGTAAACCCACTTTTCAAGGTAAACTCACTACAACCTTATCACTGCTCCTCACTACAACCTTATCACTGCTCATACCTGTCTCCCCGACCTCATCCCCTTGCCGCCTGCTGTACACCCTGCGTACATATGTCTCCCCTCTCCTGTCCTGTACTCCACCGCTCCCTGCCTGCCATGCCGACTCGCTCCGCCAATCGCGCGCCCCGTCCGCCGCCGCTCCTTGCTCGCGCCGCCACCGCCGCCGCCGACCTCCGCCCGCGCATGCACGCACGTGCCACGCCTTTTGCCACCCCGCGCCGGAGCAACGCTGCGCCGCCACCTCGCCCCACCGCCGCGCCTTGCGCGACGGCGCTGCGCCGCCAGTCCTCCCCTCCAGCGCATGCAGTGCCGCGCATCCGGCGGCCCGCCGATGGCACAGCGACACAGCCGCGACGCACTACGACACAGCCGTGGGGCACAACGACACATCCGCGACGCGCACGCACCCACCGGTACCCACGCTAACGCACTACCGTGCCACACGCGCCGCGCCGTGCGGGAGCAGCCGCGCGCGCGCCGAGCCGCGGACGTACGGTACAAGTATGGCGCTGCGGGCGGCACGTGTACTGTACCTACGCGCACACGCGGGAGATTGCTTACGGAAGATGGGGGGGAGACCCGGGGGAGAGGGGGTAGGGCGATTCGAATTTGCGCATGATTTCCGTTCAATTTCAACCCGTTCAAAACACGCCAACCGGTCCGCACGCGCCCCCACTCCGCACGCAACCCGTTCGCCGCCGGCCCCCTTGCCACCGTCCCCCGTGCCGATTATTGCCAAAGGAGGCAGAGACAGTGATCAAGGACTGTGTGTGGATGGATGCAAATGGGGACGATCGGGAGGACAAGTGAACTTGCAGAAGGTGGGTTGATGGATTTGAGGCTGGAAGTGTTGCGTGGAATGGTAGATAACTTGCAGAAGGTAGGTTGATGGATTTGAGGCTGGAAGTGTTGCGTGGAATGGTAGATAACTTGGAGCAAATGCATACATATGTTTCGGGAGATGGCAAGCAGAAAAGCGTACGAAAAGAATGTAAGATGTTTCCGGACGAGCTAAAAGCGAATCTGGATGGGTTTATCGAAGCTGATAGGATGTGAAATTCCGAAGACGACGATCAGTGGGCAAGGGTGCCTACTTTTATCTCTCCACTAAAGACTGAAGTCTAATCGAGCATTTCTGTTATTAGTAGCTGCCGAGCCATCGCATTGACTTCCTCCTGTTTCGCAGCCATAAATGCCAGCCTGCACTTTCGCAGATGTCCAATTGCATCATCGACCCTGCTTTTCTCCTCCATAGTCTCTAGTTGAGTTACCAATTGCATAATATCTTTCCGCGGCGGCAGCGGCTCTCGGGGACTACGTCTATCCAACTGCCTCTCTCGAGATCCTTCGTTTTTGGCTCAAAATTCGTGCCACCCGCAGAAGGGCAGCACTATATCGGAGCTGGCACTAACAAAGATGGCACTATATCGCGACCCCCTGTATCAAGATTGCCCATAGCAGCAATGAGTCGTGTACACGTATAAAAGGTCTGCACGAATGCACTCGCTGTAGCGAGAGATCAGGGAGCATTGCGGTCAAAAATTGGAAACAGCCAATACCGTACAGGGGCATTCGTGAAAGACTTGGCAGTGCTGTAGGTAGTTTAGAGGTGTGGGGAACGTGTAACAAGGACGTCCCGGCCAGCTGATTCTGAAAGCAAGTGAGAAGGTTGCAAGAAGAGAGAGATTAGAGATGAAGATGGAGTGCAAGGGTTAAACAAGAGGATGGAAAGAAAGAGGAATTGGGCATAGAGGGAGAGCGAAGGGGATAGTTGATCTCTGACAGGTGGAGATGGATTACTTGATAACTACGGAGACCTGCGTCTGTGTGTAGACGGCGACAGGTGGACGTTGGGGTTGGGGTTGGGGTTGGGGTTGGGGTTGAGCATGGAGATCTTGTGCAACAGCGACCGGAAGAAAAGGCGCAGAGGGCGTTCGAGAGCGATTACGACGGACGTTGACGGCATGTGTGAGGAAGACGCCGGCGATGGTAGCTAACAGGACGCCTAGGACACCAAGTACGGGGTCGAGCCAGGTCCAGGGCATAGAGGTTTGCGACATGGTTGGTAGTGGAGAGATTTGTTGTCGATGTTGTTTTTGTTGTGTGGGTGGGTGGATGGGTGAGGTAGCTGTGGAGCGAGAAACGGGGACAGATAGAGAAAGAGAGAGGGAATTTTGGTGCGAGAATGAGTTGACTGAGAGAGAGAGAAGTTGGTCTGTGGTGATTTGGGGTGGGTTTTATATGGCATTCGACTCGCTGCAGGGTGTTGCGGGCGGTGGGTTTTACAAGTGACCGAGTAGACGAGCATGCCACGTCTTGCTGCAAGACATGAATTTCTGAATAAACAGATCATATTCGGTACCTCGCTCTGGTGGACATAAAGCGGGTTGGATGTGAGCTGGATCAGCGAGGGCAATCCTCCTGGCACAGATCCGCACCCACTCCCCATATCTTTCGTTTGTCTTCGACTGAGCACTGCTGGTGGCGGGTGGCGCATGGCACGTGGCTGCGCGATAGAAAATTGGGGCAGTCTGCTATCGACAACAGCAGCTAGTATGGCGGAAGGTATGGTGCAGGCGGCGATGGAATGGTGCAGGCGGCGATGGAATGGTGCAGGCGGCGATGGACAAGACCGACGACGGCTACGGAAGTTGGGGTACCGGGCTCGAACCCGGGCTCTGACACCCGAACCTAGGTTTGGCCAAATGCATTTCACGTTTCCACGTTTCTGTCTGTTTCAGTTAATCTGTTTGTTGCAGTTAAAAAGGCAGCATGAGCCAAGTGGGCATGGAGCATGCCGAACGCAAAACATCGTAGTTGACACTAGCTATTAGGGATGACGTCTTTTTAAAAGGCCGGGCGCAGACGCTTTTGTGATTGAATTATCAAAAATATTTTCCAAACAGAATTTAGTCGCATTGATTTCCCCAGTCACTCGGTTGTTGGCCAATGGTGCCAAGATGTTGAGAGTCCCAACATGTTGGCCCCATCCCCCAACTTGGTGGTGCCACCAAGTTGGTGCCAGCACCAACTTGCCCGATTAGTGCCAACCCCAGGTGCCAGCACCTGGATAGTCTTACTGTAGTAATTTGGTCAGACGGAGGCCCTTGCCATTTACAGTAGGATGTAAGGTTATCATAATACACGGTCGCCTATCCTTGCTGCCTGGAGCCGCGTAATAATACAAGGTGATTCGAGAATACTACCTGTGTACAGTACAGTATGTGCGGGTGCCCTAACCGTATTGTACTGTAGCATGTGCTACAGGACAGTAGTGCACTAGTAAGGGAGGAACTAGTAAGGGAGGAACTAGTAAGGGAGGAGAGGAGGGAGGGGAGGAGAAGGAGGGAGGGGAGGAGAAGGAGGGAGGGGAGGAGAAGGAGGGAGGGGAGGAGAGGAGGGAGGGGAGGAGAGGAGGGAGGGGAGGAGGGAGGAGAGGAAAGACATGGAATGGCCCGCATTTCTTCCTCGATTTCTGCCCGTTGTCATGCTGTACCCTTGGTACTAGGCGGAACCACGTTTCAAGGCAGCACAACGTTATCAAAGACGGTCCCCATTCCATTCCTTTCTGCATAGTGACGGACCGCAAGGACAGACTGTCCGCATTACAGTCTGTCACACGCGGTACTTAGACCCACGAGACGGCAACGACGAGTAAAGACTGAACCATGAGGATTACGATTCATCACATAGAACCATGGGGTGGTTGACATCGCTACAACCGTACTACGGTACTACGGCATGGTATGCACATTTCTTCTGTTCATTGATCCCACATCACACCACAGCCTTCATGCAACCTGCACATCTCTCTCCACACGTCTCCTGCCCAGGGGGCACTCCCTTTTACTACAACTTCACTAGGCAAAAACCAGCACAACCTTATCGCTGCTCTGATGTACCCTTGGGTACCTGTCTCCCAGACCTCATCCCCTTACCGTCGTCTGCTGCACACACTATCTACACATCTGTCCCCTCTCCTGTGCTGCACCCCACCGCTCCCTGCCTGTCATAACGACTCGCCCCGCCAATCGCGCGCCCCGCCAATCGCGCGCCCCGTCCGCCGCCGCTCCTGGCGCGCCCCACCGCCGCCGCCGACCTCCGCCCGCGCATGCACGCACGCACCGCGCCTTTTGCTACCGCGCGCCGGAGCAGCGCCACCGCGCGCCGGAGCAACGCCACCGCGCGCCACCTCGCGCGACCGCGGCGCCTTGCGAGACGTCCCTTCCAGCGGCATGCAGTGCCTTGCACCATTGCGCCCGCTGCGCTTGGCGCCCGCAGCGCTTGGCACGCGGCCCGCCGATGGCAC